TTACGGATTTCCGCCTCAGAAGGTGGGTCTGTTGAAACAGACCATGGGACGTGTGCCGGGATAGTTGTGTGAGGAGCTGACGCTGGTGGCTGTGCTTTGAAGTGCTCCGTCCAGCTTTTAAGACATCGTTGTTGATTGTGAATGGGCGAACCATCAGCTTCGCAGATTGTTCCACTCACGCCTAAAGCTTTCCTACCGGATGAGATGAAACAGCTCACGGGAATTTCCCATGGCGGCAGCACGTTTCATTCGGGTAGGAATGAATAATTTGTTATAGATCCAATACCATTGAGGTTCAAAAAGGGCGTGGCGGCAGTGAACTGCAATTCAGGCATTCCACATAGTACTAGTGTGGTATCAGGCAAAACATACTATGAAGGGTATTTGGACGAAATATCCTTTATATTTTCGATGAAATTGATCAAGTTAAAAAACAGCCCCACTACTCAGATAACAATCAGTACGCAATCACTGTTCATGTTCTAGAGATTGAGATCACCAAACCAGTAATCCGCCACAACTTCACGCGGTTTCGCCAAATTTTGGTTATAGGTAGGCGCTTTGTGTCTATCCGGGGCGCACCAACCACATTGGCAATCCCATATCGACCATTTAGAGATGAATTTATTGATCGAAACTTCCACTAGTCTTAGATTTTTAGTACTCCGTACTTGATCACATAAAACAGGCAGTATATAAACCGTTTGGAGCGAATTTTCGGGACGTTATCTTGACTAAATCAACAGAAATGCGGAAAGAGCATGTCTAGCTATACCTTAGCGTGATAATATACACTATCAAACAAGTACTTTTTACGCATAATCAGCCTAATTCAGTTTGCATGAAGATCAAGCCATGAGTAGGTTTTATGAACAAGTTCCGCACTGTGCCAAACATTGTTATCAGGCCTTTCGAGAGATTTTAACCGTTAATATTGGTCCCAGTATTTATATTAAAGCCATGCTAAAGTCTACCCAATTGCTTCCCGAGGTTGTCCTTCTTTATTCATTCCATCTCAATCACGTGACGATACTGCATGTATTAATTTTCAATCATAATAAATTTCTCTTCAACCAGACAGACAAACTCTCACGATACTATGAGACTGGTGAACAGGCTTACAGAAGAAATAGAAAAGAGCTGAGAACCAATACATTACATTACAGATATAGTCCAAAGCCACAGCGATTCAGAGGAATTAAATGTAACTCACCGGACATAGGAACTTCCTATCAAGCAAAAATTAGTAGAGAGAGAAATATTCAAGAGTGACATAATTCACATGTAACACATATAGAAATGTTTCGAAATTGCCAAAATACCTTTACAATCATTTATCTTCGTCGAAATGCTATCGGACATAAAAATTGCAATTTTATTCTATTCTTGATCAATGTATTTGCTTTCCTCTTATTCGTAAAACAATTTCAGACAGTATAATAAATTACACTGTTACAACTGTAAATACTATTGATATTATTACATTGGCCTGGTTAACATTACTA